GTTGGACCCCCTCCCCCATCACTGCTCAGTTCTTGAACAATGCATGAACTACTGGAGGCTGAGTCTTCCTGAGCCAGGCTGCTTGTTGGTGGAGGCACGAGATATGGCTGGAAAGCTGGGGCTGCCTGGCTCCATTTGTTGGTTTGGCATGGTTGGAGTCTGGCTACACTCCCAGCTCCCTTGCCCTTTGGCCATCTACTCTGAAGATCAAGGAGAGGAGAGAAGGAGGCCAGGGAGAGACCAAGGGTACCCATCTGTAGGGAATCTGTGTTCCAGGCCACAGGTGAGCAGGGGTAGGTGAAGGCCGGGGACAGTCAGGGCTGCTAGCCACAGATGACAGTTCACACCAGCTCAGCACTCAGCAGGCCCAGAGGCCCTTCTGGGGGCAGCTGTTGCCATCCACTGTTGACTGTGGTGACTCAGATGGAGGCAGTGTGAAGATAGAAGCCTAGTGACAGACTCACTGCCTCCCAACCTCCTCCCAGCCCAGCCCCCAAGCATTTCTGCTTGGCATGGCTGATATGCATGGCAGGGCCAGCTCTCAGGCCTCAGTACCACATCCCTGCAGGAACTGAATGTGGGGGGGGGCTGGGCAGTGCTAGGGCTTATACTAGAAAAAGATGGGGCCCTGGGTCTGAGCTTCACTGTCTTTTGTAAAATAAATGGGCTCTTACAGCAGCTTAGTGGGGATGATTGTATCCCCTGTAGCAGGAAAGACAGTGAAGCTACTGAAGGACATTACCCACCCCAGCCAGCTCTAGCTCCCAATGTCCCTCTCCTCATGAAGGGAAAGCACCCTGATGGGGTGACCAGGGACCTGCCCAGAGAGCAAGGTAGATGTGGGAGGGGCCTTTTTAGGAGCAAAGAGCAGGTGGGGTCTGGGGTCCTCAAGTTTGGACCTGCTGGGGGGACTGGCCAGGAAGGTGCATGTGCCTGTCAGCTCTGAGCAAAGGGGTCAGTGTTCAGGATGACTCAGCAGACAGGACAGTGAGTCTCAAGCCAGAAATAGCCCTGACTCAGAGCAGCCACCAGCATCTCCGTGACGACGACGGGGACTGAGGCTGGGTGTCATGGCCCCCAGTGGTGGATGTCCTGCTGTGCCATGGAAAGCTATGCATACCTCTTACTGTCCCCAGCCCCAGGAGCCTGCAAGGGTATGCTTTCTGCTCTGTAGAGCTAGAAGGTTGGGAGTTTGTGGCAGCAGGGATGGCTGGAGTGCCAGCCATGGGGGACTCAACATCCTTACACCCCCATGAGTTAGCCCCTCCTAGTAGTATTGGTCAGTATCCTGGGAAGGCACTTGGGCAATCTGGATAGCAGGATGTACTTGGTTGGCATCAGGCATTTGGGGCTCTGTTGTCCAGATCCTCAGTCCAGGACTTGGCCTAAGTGTAGGGTGTGTGGCAGTGGGAGGGGGGTCTGAAGACAAGTATGTGAGGACAAACCCTTCAGCAGCCAGTCAAGGCCAGCCTAGGGAAGAGAGGACAACAGCTCTGTAGCTGGGGCATGAGGGTCAGTCCTTGCTCCATAGGCAATGAGATCTGGATACTTGGAAAGAAACTGAGGTGTAATTCAGGCAAGTCAGGCAGCTTGCATCCAGGCTTGGTTGGTCAGTGCTGTAGATGGAGCACAGGGGTGACTCTGGGGCATGAGGGGCCCTCAGTGATGACATAGGTTCTGGGAAGCTGGGCATAGTCCTCCCTCTCCACCTCTGCTCTGATGGGGTAAGTGCCCACCCATTGTAAAATGCTCTTCTCCAAGAATAATAGCCCTTATCATCTTCATCAGAGCAGCTGCCACTACTTGCAAGTGACCTTCAAGATTGGGCCTGTTGACTGTTGACCTTCCCTCATAGAGTTTTGGGAAGGTCATCTGTTCCTTACCTGAGATTTCAAGCATTCCTTCCTACACCTTCCTCTCAGCTGTATGAAATCTACCCGAGCTGTTCATGGTCTTGTAGTCTCCAGAGATGTTAGAGGCTATAGAATGTGAGAGGATAACTGGAGGTGGGTAGAGTCATCATCTATGCTGCAATGAGACTTTTTAGTGATACTGCTGCTTTGGAGTGGGGGTCAGCCCAGGCACCTGTAACTCCTCACCCATGCTCTCTAAGTAAGCCCAGTTAAGTTCATTGGTTCACTAAGCTAGAATTGGAATTCTACTTTGGTCAGTTGCTGGTGTCCTATCTGGGGGGAATAGATGTTCATGTCTCCTCAGTTAAAGTCCAAGCAACAGGGGTCTGGCAGGTGCCCCTGGGCAGCACAGAACACCAGAGAGAGCCCCTGTGGTTCCTCTTCTTCCTTTATTCTGAGGGCCCAGCTTGGGCAGAATGTGTTGTGTGTCTTTATCTTTGGGCTGGACATGACCATAGCCATCTTGAATCAGAGCAGCTGTGATCACCATCCTGTGACTCTTGAGATCAGGCCTATGGACTTTCCCTCAGAGATCCTCACAAGGTTCCTCTCCAAATTTGTATAAGAAGTGGAGGTTGGCTGGGGTAGGGATGGGGGTATCTTCAGTGGTCCAGCTTTTTTTGGGAGTCTTTCATTCTGCAGGTTTGACTCTTCAGTGGTACAGTTCCCCTTAAGCTGCCCAGGGTCTTACAGATGGTACGGCTGCCTTTGAGACCCCAAGCTCTTGTAAGTCACCCCAATAAACTCATTAGTTCACCAAGTTGAACTTATACAGGACCCTTTCTATGATCTGTCAGTGACTGCTCCTATCTAGAGTAAATAGCTCTTTCTGTCTCCCCAGGAAAAGCCCAAGGACATCCCAGGGTAGATGTCAACCTCCTGCCTGCCTTTCCTGAATCCTTGCCATTACATCTCCTTCTGCCTGGGACCCAGGGACAGACGGGCCCTCCTGGAGCAAGCTTCAAGAGCCCCCAGGGAAGCAGCAGTTGCCTATGTCCACATGGTCTTGGGTTGGACAATCTGGAGTCAGAAAGGCATTCCACAGCAACAGCACCATCCTCAATCCATGTGGTCACCAGCCTCACCTACAGGAGCCAGGCCCTGGGGACATGGCTCGCTTGCAATGGCCCATGGTTGTCCAAAGCCACAAACAGAAAGGAAGCATCTCAGATCCACCTGGGGTGTGAGCATGAGGAGCTCAGAGACTGCCCCCCTCACCTTGATTTCTGCCTTTATAAAATGTACTTGGTGATAGAAAACACAGTGCTAAAATTTAAACATGTGGCATGCTTAGAAGAGTACCCGGCCAGCACCTCCCCCAGCCTGTGTACCAGCCCCCACCAGCCTACCACCCTCAGGAGGTCAAATGAGGCCATCAGCATTGATGGGCAGGCATGTGCAGAGTGGCCTCAGTGGGAGGTGATAATGAGGACTAAGAAGCAGGCACACGGAGGGAACTGCTAGCCTCCACCTCTTCATGGATGCTTACCTGGGAGAGGCCTGGGGACAAGTGGCTGCCAGGGATGAGGGTAGGTAAAGAGGGTCTTAAGAGTTGGTACTGAGTGGAAACAACAAAGAGGAGGCCTCACTACCGCCTGCCACTGCAGGGACACACCTGGCCACTGCTCTGCAGGCCAACAGGGGTGGAACTTCTACCCAAACCACAGATATAGGACCTAGGACAGCATCTGCCATGCCATGCCCAAGGCAAGGAGGTGGGGTTCTGTGACCTCCATATACCACACCCCCGCCCTGTGACTTCTCTTCCTATTCTCCTACCTCATGAGATGTGAGGGGCCCAGGCCTTTTGAGTACTGTGTACCCCTGAACCCATTGGGCATCCTGCTGCTGATCCCCATGGTGGCTGCACTCTAAAGAGCAGCTCTCTGGCTGTCACTGTGGTGATCAACAACTGTGACAAGTGGCATGGTTTCCATGGGGACTAGAGGTGATGTGCACTCTGACAGACTTCTGCCTCACACAGGGGCAGGGAAAGGACAGGGACTGTGGTAGCAAAGGCTATCATGTAAAGGCCCTGGGACAGGGTTGCCTGGCAGGTAGGTGCCAGTGGCAGGTATCACAGGCTAAGTTTTTTGTCTGTAACCAAGGAATAAGTGCTCCTCTCTCAGTGGTCAAAGCACCCCCCAGGAATCCCTCCCTGTCAAGACCCCACTGCATACACACCTCATCCTCAAAGAAGGCACCAAAGAAAGTATATGAGGAGTTTGGCCTAGGTGGATTCAAGAGCAGATGAGAAACCACCTGGTTCCATCAGTCCAGCATAGCCACTTCCTGCCCTGGACTAGTGTTTTGGTCTACACTGTAGAACCCAGGTTGCCATCTCCAGGAAGCCCTCCCTGCCTCCAACTGACCCCCACAGAACTGCTCCATGTCTCCCTCCAGGCTATAATTACCAGGAAGGCTTTCTGCCTCCCAAACTTCCTCCCGATGTTGGTCTTCAGTGAGCATGGGGTCATGGTGTGGCACTTTCCTCTGGAGGTGTGTCAGCCAATGAGGGGAAGGGGCAGCAGGGTCCAGACTGGGGTCAGGTGTCCATGTGTGGGCAGCTGGGGGTGGGGAGCTGGCATATTGTTCCCCTTTCCTACTTTCCGAAATCCAGGACAAGAAACAAGATCTCCCCCTCCCCATGCAGTCTGGTCCCCTTCCTATCTTTGAGCACTGAGCAGTGAGAGCTACTGAGCTCTCACTGGGTATACTGTGGGGTATAGCTAGAGTGGGAATCTGCCTGAAGAATTGTTCTGAGTGGGGTCAACAGCAGAAGGGATGTCATGTGGAGCCAGTGGTCTGATTAAGGACATATGAACTGAGACTCAAACCTGGGGGTGCAAGGAGAGGGAGCCATGCAGTGACCCCAATAGACGCTCAAGACCTTGACAGTGCTGGTGAAGTCAGGAGGAGTCAAGCCTGGTGGGAACTCTGGGCCAGACTGTGGGGGAGCACCTGGCCTTATGTCTTTTGAGGCTTGGGGGATGATAGACACATGGGCAAACCTTGGGTTCACAGGGACCTAAGATGTCTGCCCAGGTGGACAGCAACCACCCTGCACCATGGAAAACTAAGGTCCTCTTTATTTGGGTGGGATAGTGTGGCCAGGTGTCAGCCTTGGTCACCAGTAGCCAGCCAACTGGAGGACACTGGGGTAGCGGCTGCGGTGGGTCATACAATTCTTGCGGTCAATGAAGAGGCTGTTGGTCTTGACAGCAATGTCCTTCTCCAGGCTCATGCGTGTGTCCTCCAGGTTCCGCAGTGCCTGCTTCGCATCCTGTAGCTTCTCTTTTAGCGCATTGATAGACATGGTCAGCTCCTCCACTTCACTCATCAGCCTGCAGGTGTGGGAGTGGTGAGCTGGGGGAGCAACAAGGGGCAATATCCCAGATTTCCCAGGGCCAGCGAGGCCACAGAAGGCCCCAAAATGCCTACAGGGAATCCCACCAAAATGGCCCTACAGCATTGCAGAACCCCTGGGAGTCTGGCCTGAATCAAGAAAGGTTCTCATCTTACTCCCAGCACTTGGGAGGCAGAGGCAGGCGGATCTCTGTGAGATAGAGGCAAGCCTGGTCTACATACTGAGTTCAACTAGGGGGGACCCTGCCAGAAAAAAGTCCTCATTCCCAGCCCCAAAGGGCCTTCCTCAAGGTGTGCTGGAGCAGGGAAAGGAAGTCTTACAACAGCGACACCTGGGGGCCATGATAAGCAATGGCAGCCTGACCAGACTGGAGGCAGGACCCACCCTTGAAATCCTGATTTCTAGAAGAAATTTCAGGGCAGAGAAGGAGCAACCTGACACTGGCTAGATCAAGAACATAAAAGGCATGTTCCATTATGCCTGTGTGGGGCACATGGTTATATTAGATATACAGGGATGAGCAGTGTCTAGCCTCTGTTCTGTGGCCTCAGGAGCTTTCAGACCAAACCAAGGCTCCTTCTAGGAGAGTGAAGCAGCTCGGGGTGGCATAGGACCCTGTGTTGCCCCTGAAAGTCAGTCCCCTCCCAGGATCAAACCCCACCCTCCATTCTGTATCTATTGTCCTAAGTGTAGGGGGCATGATACTGTGGGTAAGGTTCATGGTAACCCCTAGGGCTGAAAAAGGTTAAAGAGTAATCCCAGTACTCAGGAGGCAGAGGCAGGTGGATCTCTGGGAGATCAAGATCAGTTGGAGCTACAAGGAGAGCCTATCTCAAACAAAGAAAAACAAAATAAAACAAAACAAAACAGAAGCTTGAGGAGTAAGCCACCCTGGGCTGCCCCAGCAGCACCTGAACTGCGTGCCATCTCGACACAGCTCCACATTGGGCCTGTGTGAGCGCTGGTACAGGCGGGTCTGGGCCACACGCAGTGGTGCCTCCTTGTCCTTGATGGCCTGCTTCAGAGCTGCCACCTGGTGCTCCTGGTCCATGATCTCCCGCAGGATCTGCACAGAGCACTGTGTGAGCCTGAGGCAGGCTCAAGCCTGGAGTAAGCAGGGCACCTGGGTGCCCTAACCCAGCAAGGGAAGGGAAGAGGTAGACCAGCTGCTTCCTCATCCCCTGGCCCTGACTGGAGACTCTGAGCCCTGGGCCTGTGTCTAGGGACAGTCCTGTTGAAGGCCCTCCCAGAGGGCCCCTTGAGTCAGAACAGCCTGTTGTAACCCCTTAGCCCTGGCCAAGTAGATCAGGGACTTGAGTCTCAAAGGACTGAGAATGTAGAGTTTGCAGCACTGGTGTGGGCAGGCACCCCACAGACACACTATACCCCCACACTGCCTCCCTTCCAGCCTACCCACCCTGCATGCTGCCCCCACAGTTAATGTGGCTGTGCCAGTACACTATTCCCAAATAAAAACCTGATTTTACATCAACTCAGGGTGTCTATAGAAATGCATGCATGTGTGTTTCCGGGGTCCTCCTGGGTGGACCTGGCAGAGAGGGGCCCCAAGACCAGGTCATTTACCACTGTGCATAAAATAGAGAGCAGCCCTGGTCTCCCAGTGGTTAAGGGACCCAGGCCCTAGGTGAGGAAAGGGTGTGGCTTGAGTGTGGGGCAGGTGGGCGTTCTCAGGGGTGGAGAGAGCCTAGACGTGTGTCACAAATGTGGAGTAGGCTTGCTAAAAGAGGAGTCCCGGCGTGTGCCCAGGTGGGCGTGTCCTGAGGTACGTGTGTGTCTGGTGGGCATGTCCAGGACGCGTGGTCCTGTCCTCTGGACCCACCTTGTGCAAGTGGTACTTCAACTTGTGGAGTGCGTCGTCCAACTCCTCGCAGCGGCGCGCGAAGGCCAGGTTGACGGCGTCGCACTGTAGCCTCAGGTCCTCAGCTGTGTCCCGCAAGACACAGTGGATTAACTTCCGCAGGTTGACCGAGGCCAAGCGCTCATGTTGCGCGCGGAGGAGGTTGTCCTGAGTGAACTTGGCCCAAGACTCGGGCGTGGAGGCGCTGTGGGCGTGGGGTGCGGTCGGGGTGCGGTCACTGAGACTCTAGCGAGCCGTCCGCGGTCTCCAGTGTCCCCCATGGTCTGTGTTCCCACTCCCTCACACATCCCACAGTTCTGCCCGCCCTCCTGGACCCCTAACGGAGGTCGGTTGCCCTCTGCGGGCCGCGCGCAGAAACGCAGTCCAGGTGGCTCACACTAGTGCAGAGGGCTTGAGGATTGTCCATCCGAAGAGCAGACAGAGCTCCCCCAGGGGGCTGGGTCAGGTCCTGAGGTTAGGAATCCTCCCTCAGAACTGGAAGGCAGAGCCAGGAGGGTAACAGGGGTAAATGGGGATGCTGAGGCCCTCACCTCTCCTCAAACTTGCTGGAATGCGGGTGGAACTGCACTTGGGTGCTCTGGTTGTTGTAGCGGGCACAGGTCTCATCGATGTTGTAGGCTTGGACCTTGTCTGACCAGTCCATCTCACAGGTCTCCTTATGTTCCCGGTTCAACCTTGGGGCCAGGGAGAGAGTGCAGCACCAACTATGTGCCAGGGAGCACTGGGAGACAGGGCTCCAGCCTTAGCGTGCTCCAGTTCTGGCTCAACTGCAGCCCTCGCTGGCCAGCAGGATCAGGTTCCAGAACAGATGCAGGGCTGGTTGTACACACCCAGCCCATTAGTGCCCATCCAGCCCTGTACCTGTGACCTGGAATCCTCTTGACCTCTCTGACCCATAGATTCATGTCCCCAGGTGTCCTGCCCCCTGGCCAGCCTGGTGAAGGGAGATGTCAGGGGTCACCATCCCTCAGGCCCCTCAGGACCACTGTGACACACCGTATCTGACCCACAGCTTGAAGGATGGTCCTCTTCAGGAGTTCCTGGATGTTCCTGATTAGTTCAGCTTCCTGGGGGAGGAAGAAGTTGCTCCTGAGCAGCAGAGCACTGCTCTGAGGGACTGAGGGGCCCAGAAGGAGTGGAGACGTGGGCCTGATCTCCACTAACCTTCATCTTAATCTATTTTCCCAGAAAATGGGGCATGAATCCAGCCTTTATGCACTGGGTTTATTCTGGGTATTTGAGCACGATTTTGTTGTAAGCAGGTGTGTTCACCATGGCCTTCTTCAGGCCACTGGGAGGGTCACCTGTGACAGTTTCCCAGGTCTGAGGTCATCCCCAAAGCTCTTCCAGTGTACTAAGGAGCATCAGCCTTATCTTAGACCTTAGACCACCTCTGAGGACTCTAAGCCTATAGAGGACCAGATGCCCTAGATTGGTTGTCTTCCAAGAATAGGTTTCATTCTACCCCAACATTTTCTGTGTACCAGGAAGCCTCTTATATGCAAGTCCACATGGGCTAGGTTCTCTACTCTCCTCTGTTCTTGGTCAGCCTCCCATCCCTGCACCACTGGTGATGTTTTAGTTATAGAACAGCAGGACAAGGCCTAGACTTGGGTGCTTGTCCCAGGGTAGAGAGGCTTGTAGTAAGCCATGGGGGACAGGGATGATCAGGAAAGGGATTAGGGAGGACAGGGTTCCCATCTGAGCTTGGGGTATGGCAGGGGTTTCCCCTGAGGCCCCCAACTGAGCTGCTTATTTTCCTTGTCTCTCATCATCGCCCACAGGCCTGAACCCACCACAAGGGGACTCTGATTCTGAGGGATTCAGAATGCAGAGCCAGGAACAGCAGCCAGGCTGAGTGACACCCCCCCCATTCCCTACAGCATCCCTAAGCATAAACTGTGCTATGTTTGGGGAAAAGGGAACTTAAAGAGGGAGAAGGTAGTAATTTTTTTCTTTTGTTTTGATTTTTGAAAGAGTCTTGCTATACATCCCAGGATGATCTGAAACCTCGAAACCTCCTTCCTCAGTCACCCTATTGCTGGAACTGTAGATTATATGCCACCATACCAGGCTAGGAGGCTGAAGTTCTGAGGCTCTGGATGGGATGAGCAGGTGCCATGTCCCTATCCGCCTCTTTCACACCTGCAGCACTGTCTTGCCTGGATTCCTACCATGAGCATAAATTTCCCATGTAAGCCAAGTATGGTGGCACACACTTTTAATCCTAGCTCTCAGGAGGCAGAGGTAGGTGGATCTCTGAGTTCAAGGCTAGCCTGGTCTACATAACGAACCCCAGGTCAGCTATAACTACATAGTGAGAACCTGCCTAAAAAAGAGTCCTAGCCAGGGACATGCTAGAGCAAGGTCAGCCTATGACTTAACCTAAAAAAACTTAAGGTCAAGGATAGACTTCATATCCTTAGGCTCTTAGAGGCTGAAGTTGAGGTGATCGCAAAAGGGTAGACAGTTTCTTGGAAGTCAGGGACCCCACAGGGCAAAAGTCCTCCTGTGACTGAAGAACCAGATGTCCTGCATGAGCAGAGGGGCACAGCTCTGTGTGACCCTGCCTACAGCCACAGGGCACACAGAACTCAGAGCCCCTGAGGCCCTGAGGCACTGTGTTGTTCATGTGAGCTTTCAGGGCCCACCTCCCACTCTGATCCTTGCCACAGGCCGCACCTTCAGCAGCTCCACCTCCACATAGTCGTGCACGAGGTCTGGGTGCTGGCGGCGTTCACGGCACTGCAGGTTGTCCATGGCGATGGAGAAGGGCACAGAGGTGGCATCCAGGGCACGCTCCAGCCGCTGCTTCTGGGCCAGCAACAGGTCAGTCTCAGCAGACAAGTCATCTATCTCATGCTGCAGTTCAGACTTCCAACAGTGCATGTCCTCCATGCGCTCCCCCACCTTTCGTGTGGAGTCCTGCTGAGTTCGCTGGGCCAATGCCTCCATCTCAGCTGCCAGCTGCTGGCTCTCATGCCGCTGCTGCTGTGAGTAGTCCCGGTCAGCAAAGGCCTGATAGTAGTGGGCATAGCAATTCTGAAACCATTCATCTACCAGGTACTTGGCCAAGGAGAAGCCAGTGGGGGCCAGGCCTGAGGATGTGTAGGCACCTGTGTTACAGGCAACATCATACTCCTTATGTGGCAGCTCACAGGTCTGCACTGACTGTGGAGCTGGCTCTTTAGTCAGGAGCACATCTGTATGTGCCATGGTGCTTGCTACCTGACCTGGGCAGGGGCAGGGGGTTGGGAGTGAGGGTTGAAGGAAAGGTCACTGGGCACGATCAACAGGCGGCAGTGGTCACTCTTTCCCCAGCAGGACTCCTGGTTGCCTCAGAGACATTGTGTACACCAACGGGCTTCCTGCTGCTAGGCAACAGGATCACTCAGGGGGATGGGCCAACTGCCCTCTTAAAGGGCCATGCAGGGGCTGAGGAGAAGGGTCAGTGGGTAAAGTGCTTACCATATAAGGATGAGGACCTGAACTTGATCTTTAGAAGCCAAGTAAAAAAGCTGGATATAGTGACACACACATGTAATCCCACCACTGGAAAGGCAGAGACAGGTGGATCCCTGGGACTCACTGACCAGTCCAACCATACTTGGCAAGTTCTAGGACAGTGAGAGAACTTGTCTCAAGAAACAAAGTGGATGGTACCTGAGAAATGGCATCTAAGGTTTTCCAAGGTGTGCACGGGCACCCAAACATACATGCACCTGTAGGTGCAAAAACACACACATACACACATGCAAACACATAAAAATGAGGCCAGGTAGTGCCAATGCACCTTACCTACCCTACTGTGGCCCAAACAACAGTTCACATCTAACCACAGGATCCTGGAGCCAGCCCTCAGTCTACATGTCCTTGTCCTCAGGGTATGGAGGGATCTTCAAGCTCCTGATGTCCTGTCCCGACACTTCCCTGGCTCCTCCATCCTTTCCTGGGTTCTTCTGTGTTTCATCCTGAGCTTGGCTTGGCTTAGCTGGAGCAGGATGGAGGCGCCCATTTGGAGGCGCCTTTAGGGTGGAAGAGCTGGGCCTGGTGAGCAGGCCTTGAAGTTTGGAAACATGGACAGATTCCTCAGCCCTAGATATTGCTCCTCTCCTTGCCCTTGCATCCCCCAAACCACCAATTCTCCAAGCCACCCCATGATCTGACAGCTTGGCCCCACTGTTCATTTGATCTGAGCCCTTAATGCAGATTCAGGCACCCATTCCTACCGCTGCCTCCAGGACTTGCTCTAGGGACTGAGCCCTATGGGCATGCCCTCATGGACACTGGGCACATCTGCTTCTGGGGTTACTGCCTAAGGGCCAACTTCCCCTACTCCCATTCTTCCTTCAGCAGCCCATACTTGAACTCATATCCAGGGCCCCCTCTGGAAGGTGGCTCTGTGCTCTGAAGGGGGTTGAATCCATCCAACCTAGGGTGGAGGTGGACGAGGGGTGGGGAAGACACCCAGGTCAACGCCCAATATGACCAGAAGAGGCCGCCATTGGCTGCAGAATGCCTGGCTGCTCTGATCCTTCCCTGGAGGCACCCACAAACCAGGTTCTTTCAGCAGGATATCCTCATTCCCACTCAACGTGGGAGCTCCAGCTCCAGCCTCTCCCACATCCTCCCTTACCATTGTCCTTTCTCAGGAACACAGCCTCTGCTTACCACCCCAGCTTTGTCCTGGCACTGCACTCCTGGTATTCCTCCCTGGTGCTGACACCACAGCAGCTGGAGCCTCACTCCATGCTGGCCTGACAGTCTCCCAATGGTCAACTCTAGCACTTACACCAGGACAGACAAAAGGTGCTCCATACATGTAGACTTTAAAGGGAGCATCCCTAAGACTTCCTGAACCAGACCAAGCAAGAGTTCCTGTTGTCCCTCAAGAGCAAGAGGCCAAGGGCCTTTCAGGGTCAATATGGACCTCCCTCAAGTTCCTCTGTGACTCAGTTTTCCTAAATGGTAGCAAGGTGCAGGGCCATCCAGAAAAGCTCCTCCTTGGATCCATTCCTAACTTGTGGACACAGGAGACTGCCAAATGACCCCCAGTTTCAGTATCCAGGCACAGTATCTAGGCACAGCAAGTAGGTCTTGCTCTCATGGGACTTCCAGGATGATGAGGAAGGCCAAGTCAGTGTAGGCTCCCCTGTGACAGGTCACTCTCCAAGGCAGAGCTCAGGTCTCAGCCCCGAGGCTGAGGGGTCAGGACTTTCCAGGAACCTGCAGAGCTGGGCTGAGCCTTTGTCTTCATCAGCCAAAGTCAGTCTGACCCTTGTTTCAGAGGTAAGAGGCATTTGTACAGTGAAGGTGTCAGTGTGTGACCAGGCAGGGGCTCCTCCCAGTCTCAGTTTCATTATGTGGAAAAGAAGAAACACAATGATACACGGGGCTCCCATGGGGCTGACAGGGCAAGCACAACTATTCCTGGGACTTAGAGGGACTGGAAATATAACCAAAGTGGGGCATAGAGCTGGAGCTGAGGGAGACAGGTGAGCATAGTTGTGGTGCAGCATGGCATTAGGAGTAGGAATAGGCTTCCTGGTATATTTGTTTCCAAATTGCATTTGTAATGAGCAAATTGGGTCTAGGGGACACCCAGTGGTACTCACAGATTGGCCCCTGCATCCCCTTCCTCAGCAGAAGGAATGCCTGCTCCATCTACACTCTGCCTGTGTCCCCAGAGACCAGACCTCTTCCACTCAAGACAACCTTGCAGGATGCCCCACACCAGATCCTTCAGTCTGTCCTGCTCTTCAAGGGCTGGGCCTTACTTCAGACCCCAGGGAACTGGCAGTCCCCAAGATGGGATCAGAGGGACTGGTAAGACCCTGACCAGCCCCACTACCCTAGACCAAGGTCGTTCTAGGAGGCTGCAATCAGTGGAAAAGAATACAGGGACAGTTCTGTGACAGAACTAAGAGAACAGAAGTCTTCTGCAGGCCTGAAGGACAAGTGGGAGAATTTCCTGCCCCTATTCCCCCTTCATCACTGATCTGCTGGCTCCTGGCCTCCAGCCAGTTCAATGGTAGCTACAGAGCCCCTGGTCCCAGCTACAGAGAGACATCTTGGCACTGATCTCTGTGGTACTGACCTTGGTTCTAGGGGACCTGGAAGGTATCCATACTCTGTCCTGAATGACCCAAGGCCAGAGGCCTTGGCCTACAGATCTGAGGCCTTGAGTTCCTCCCTGGAAAAGTGACGATCATTGACTTTTTGTTCTCACACAAGTTTTGGATAGTGGTTACCTTGGAATGACAGTGATCATGTCTATTCCAGGGACTGCTCCAGATACCATAACTAAAATGGACCTGGGCTTGAGGGACCCCTCCTGTTGGGTCTGGCCAGTGGGGCTCCAAAGCCAGAGGCCTCTTCCCTTGGCTCTGTCTCCAGCTTGGAAGATTCTAGATGGGGAAGGGAGCCTGTCACCTCCACAGAGCTTCATAGCCTCTATCAATAACAAGCACATCCTGAAAGGCCCAGGCTGAGATGGGCCCAAGGTCACATGAACATGATGAGGCCAGCAAAGAAGAGGCAGCCATCTGGCCACCTCCCACCCTGGCCAGCTTCCCCAATTACTCCTGATAGGAATGACAGTCCAAGAAGACGTCATGGACAGAGGAGACCCACCTGCAGGAGCAGCAGACATGGTTGTGAGTCTTTCTGGGCCAATAAGACATTTAATAATGGGAGGATCCGAAACTGTTGGTGTTCCTAAGCCAGTATTGCAATGGGCAGAGGCCTATGCCACACAAGAAGAAAGCGAGCAGAAGGAGGCAGCCAAGGACTTCCAGGGGGAGAATTTTCAAGGTTGAGCTTGGAAGGGTAATCTAGATGGGGGTGGGAAAGAGCTGGGCAGGGTACTGGGGGAGCATCAATCCCTCAGTGGCACCTAGGACCACTGTGAAAGTCTTGGAGGGGCATCAGGTCCCAGAGAGTGGGGCAAAGTGAGAGGATGTGGAATGGACAGGAAGCTGGCAGGGAGGCTGAGTCCAGTAGCCTGGCCACTACCTGAGGTGGACACCTGGCCTGAGTCTCTTCACTTGGCAGGTAAGCAGAACCAGGAGGTTGGATGGATTGATGATTCTCTCCCACTTGGCTCCTACCTGTTTCCCAAGCAGTGGACACAAGAGGCGGGGGGACCCATGACCATGGACACGATCCTGCCCACCTCTTGCCCAGGAAGACAGGGACCTCTGAGGCAAGGCATATGTGGCTTGGGAAATGCCTTAATGTGGCTGGCTGCATTATAGCTGTCCAGACAGCTGTCTACTTGAAAGACCCAGAGCTGCTCAGCCTGGCACCTAAGACATCCCCACCTTAGGGGTGGGGGGTGTACCTTGGGTAGGCAGCTTCCCAGACATAGAACAGAAGTTGTGTGATAGGAGCTATCACACCACCATGTCTCAGTTTCCCTTTCTATAATATGAAGTAGGGACCATTTCCTTCTCATAGAGGTTTAAGGATGAGGTGAGACAGTGCACACAGCTCCTTCCTAGGCTGTGTCCTGGGCCAGCTGGATGGAGAGACAGCCCTAGGCTGGAGTAAGCCTGGATAGAGGTCCCACACAACTCCCATCCTACACCCACAACCTGATCTTCACCCTCACACATAAGATTAAATAGTTTTCAGGAGTCATGAGAGTCCAGAGTTAAATGAAATAGCAGTAGGTCTCCTTTCCAAGAGTGGTTATCCGCCTGGGTATTGAAGGAACAGGAAGAGCTGTGAATATAAGCAGCGAACACACAGTAAGGAGCACACAGGTAAAGAAATGGCTTATAGAGAAATTTCTGCTGAGGGCTGGAGAGATGGCTCAGTCATTAAAATGCTTGCCGCAAAAGGACCGGAGTTCAGAAACCCACGTAAAGGCTTCCATCCTCAGAAAACTGGCACAGGGGATCTCCTGAGCAAATTGGCTAGCAAGACTAGCCTTATTGGCAAACTCTGGGTTGGACTGAGAGACCCATTGAGGATGATTCCCTGACATTAACCTTGGGCCTCCATATACATGTGCAACCACACACATTAAAAAAGAAAAAAAGAGAATATACGAAATGTCAAAATGGGGGGAAAAGAAACTTTTATTTACAGAGAAATATGAGACAAAGGCCTGATTGTGGGAATGGATTCAAGATGGACTATAGATGGCACCCACCAGCAAGGCAGGGCAGCCATCACACTTCCTACCCATGACCCCGTGGGTACCTGTGCCCGCTGTCAATTAGCAGTGATGACAACAGCATCTTGTAATTCAACAAAATTGATGTTAAAACAGACCTGCTGAAGAGCAAATACCCAGGCGTGTTGGTTATTATGACCACTACTTTTCCATTGTGGCACAAA